GGGGGGGTGCACACAGCACAAACAGAACAGATGAGGAAGGAGCGAGGGTGGTTCTCCCCTCGTTCCCATTTCCATCTGTCTGTCTGTGTGTGTCTGCTCACCGAAGAGGAAGTCCTGCAGCGCCTTTGGCAGCTTACGGCCCTCATCCAGCTCTCCCCCGTCGAAAGCAGGAAACGAGATACTCACCAGATTCAGCACATTCAGCCCCATGACCACCGCCAACACACTGGCAGCCACAGGCACTATCCTCTCGGCCGGCCCGCTCGTCTGCCCGAAGAGCCCCATACCCAGCAGACTCGCCCCCAGCCCGAGTGACGACAGGGCCGTGGCCAGGCCGGCCGCAAACATGAGGGAGGACGATAGCGGGATGGGCGGGGGGCGGGAGGGGTCGTCGGTGGGTGTGGATGAATCACCGGCCAGGTAGGCAATGGTTAGGGGCAGCAGGGAGAGGGCACAGGGCGAGAGGGACGTCACAAGGCCAGACAGATAGAGGACGGCAAGGCTCACGGGCGTCAAGTGGGACAGCTGAAGCAGCAAGGAAGGAAACACACAGCAAATTAAATACATAATCTGGAGCATCAAACCGCATCAAACTGCACCCAGTGGATGTGTGTGGTTGGCGCACCCACCTGATAGGCGACGATGTCGCCGGCTGTCTGCTGCACGTCAAAGATGAGGAGGCCCAGCTCATCCTGCACACTGAACTGCATCTCAGTCCTGCCAGATGGCCTCACAACTGGCCGATGAAACGAGGATCTGACGCGCAGCTGGTCGAGAGCCAACTCCAGAGGCAAACAAACCAATGGCATGGTAATCGTCAGATCTACCCTGTCTATCGTCCTCAGCTCACCTGTGCATGGCGTGGCTGCAAAGCGGATGGCCCGAGCCCTCGATAAGGATGAGCAAAGGCTGGAGAGCGCCTGACGGACGACGCGGCTGCATTCGTCGGACCAGAGCAACTCAGCCATGGAACTGCGAGGACGAAAGAGACAAGTAGTCCCCAAGGCGTCATTGTCGCTTGATCCCGTAGACGAAGTCTGACCAGCGAGGCTTCTGGTGCCAGGCAAGCTTAGCTCGCATGTGGCGGACAGGGCAGGGAGCAAAAGGCGGCGGATCTGGATCACAATGCCGCGAGGCGAGACTCGAGAGGTGCACTAAGGACTTTAGCCTGATTTCCCAGACCGCAGAAGCATAGATACCGGAAGTGGAGAGGCTTTCGCAGCTTTGCCGAGCGGGCAGATGTCAGGTCGCTGGCAGGAGCGCGGCAGATGGGAGGACAGCAATGCTGACACTGTGGACTGGCCACAGCCTTCCCGCAGCCCAGGCCCATCACAGCGCTACGACACGTCGGACGGCAGGTCCAGCACCTCGATGAGCCGAGAAGGGGTAAGTCGACAGACAATGCAGTTGGGGAAGGGAGAAGGTGACAGACACAAACATCCATGTGCGTCATGCATGTCATGTGCTTGTCATGTCATTCAGGCAACTGGCGGCCCTCGCGACGGTCTGCCGCCTCCCAACCTGCGGTCGGTGGCGTACAAGCACACCGCCAAGACCTACACCCCAGCCCGCGCCAACCGTCTGCCCGACATGACCGGCGCCTCACATCGCCGCGCCTCAGCCCCTGAAGAACAGGACCTTCCCCACGACACACCGGCGAGCAACTGCACCTACCCTCAGGACGGTCTCTCCTCGTCAGAGGAATATCAGCATCAGCAGGAGGGCTGGGACAGCCGCTCCGACGCGGCCATGAACTACGGCACAGAAGGCAACAACGAGCAGCCGTATTCGGGACAGAACTACTACACCGACTATGACTACAACCACAGCGCCAGCTATGAGGATCTGCAAGGGCATCCTGGGTACGATGGCTACAACAGCGGCGGCTACATGGATGACTCGGAAGCTGCCCATGATCAGCACTACCCCGGAGACCACTACGGCGATCTGGAGGGGGATGACAGCCCCAGCTTCGCCCCAGCCCCGCCCGTCAACCCATTTGAGAGCGACGAGGAGGGCGGCTCGCCAGGCCCATACCGACACACCGCGGGAGACCAAGACGACGAGCAGCAGAGGAGACTCCTCGTGTAAGTGGGCACGGCGATCAACAGACAGACAGACAGACAGACAGACAGGTGGCCATTTAGGTGGGGTGCTCACTCTGCGGTTCTTTGCTGTGTATGTGTTGTGTGTCAGGGCGCAGCTGTTGGATGCCAAGAAGGAGCGTGAGGAGCTGGAGCGTCAGGTGGTGACGCGGCTCCAGACCTGGCCCAAAGGCCAACACGGCATCGACTGGGCATTCTGCGGCAGGCCCTCACCCATCGCGGCTCCTGACCCCTCCCAGGTGCCCCCACAGCCATTCGCCAACATGGAAGCCGCCACCCACCCACACGCACAGCAGCATGACAACCATGCGGCCGACGGGGGGCAGCGCGACGGCCAAGGTGACCAGCAGCCGTCACCCCTCCCCCACCACCATGAGCTGGACTACCACACTGCCGGCCACCCCCACCCTTCAGAGGTGCCTGCTGCATTCGTCGAGGAAGGCAGCCAGCTGGTGGGGAGCTTCAATGCGAGCTTCACACACGGCGACATGAATGGGGTGAATGGGCCGATGGGGAGTGGCGCCGCGGACCACCCTGGCTTCACTCCCGAAGACAAGAGGCTGGTGTATGGGCTTGACACCCACCACCCCGACTATAGCCTGGTGGGCCACTCTGAGGGCGAGAAGCGGGCCCGCGAGGCGCAGGAACGCGCCCGAATGCGGCAGACGGACGGCGACGTGCCGTGGCTCTTTGCAGTAAGGAACACGACACAGACAGACAGACAAATAGAGAGAATCGTCCGTCGAGAGGGAATGTGTGCGAGTGTGTGTGTGTGCTGATAGGATTTCGGCGGCACTCTAGTGTTGGATGACGAGGCGCGTGCGTGCGGTGCTGAGGGCGAGTTCGCCGACATATTCGACATAGTCGACGAAGAGTACTGGACGGAGCGATACAACGCGGTGAGTGAGTTGAGGGAGACAAGGACAAGGAGCGACTTGACTTGAGAGGTAGTCAGTCAACTGTGCTGTTCTGTGTGCGGATGGATGGATGGCTCTATTCCCTCCCTGCCGCCCTCGCCCGTCACGTCCCCTGCCTGCATCCATCCACAGGACCCCGAGTACTGGAACAGTCGGGGCATGTTCATCGACGACAAGGACACCTGGATAAACCCCATGGCCGATCATCGGGGCGTCCAAGGTAGGTGGCCTTGCCGGCCTTGCGCACCATATCATGTCTGTATGTCTGTCTGTCTGCGTGGTGTGGCTGCAGGTGTGTGTGACGGGCGGCCCAAGTTGGAGGAGGCCAACATCGGGGTGCCCGACGAGACGCACGCCGCCACCGCCGCCAACCTCATCCTCGGCGACTGGCTGCAGAGCGCCAAACAAGACGCCATGATGCAGGTACGTGTGTATGCAGCGCAGCCAGACACACCACACGGCCAACGCACACAGTAAGTACATGTGCTGCTGTCGGTGTGTCGTTCCTCTCCATTCAGAAGAAGGAAGAGCCGGTCAGTGGCCGCCCACACACATCATTGGGCAAATGAGCACCCGCTGAACGAGCATCGCCCCGCATCTCATGTGTGTGTATGTGTGTGTTGCAATGAATGCAGAGGCGGCGTGTGGTCAACAAGGAGGATTTGGATGAGGGCGTCAAGACCCTGGTCACCGAACAGTTCGGCCGCTTTGTCGAGGCCCTCGAGAAGGGAGACAAATGTAAGTAACTAACCACATCTACACACACATGAACAAAGCCAGACAAAGAGACCTGCACACACTTCAGTCAGTCGGTCCATCGGTTGGTTCGGTTCGTTTAAACAGGGGTTGGGTGGGAGGAGGGCGGCGAGTACGCCCATCTGGCCGCCCAGTACCCCAACGACCTCACCGGACGACTCAAGCTCATGTACGAAAACATCGGTACGTATCTACGTGTGGAGTGGACGGGACGAGTGAGTGCACCACACACCTCACCCGCCCTCGATCATTGAATCAACCATAGATAGCCACGGCCTGTCAGTCTCCACCGTGTGTGTGCCTGTCCTTGTTGTCTCTCTCTGTGTGTCTGTGTGTTTGTTCAGAGCAGCTAGCATTCGGCAACAGGCTGGTGGACATCGTGCCCAGTGAGGCGTGGGGCAAGTGGCACGACTGGAGGAGGCAGCACAACGTTGTCAAACGACACAACAAGGCCGCCCCCGGTGCGTTGCGTTGAGTGCAGTCAGGCCGAGCTCCGCTCTCACTTACTCACCACACCAACCAGAGCACGACAGACAAGAGAGCAGCTGTATGTGTGTGTGTTGATTCTTGTGTTGTGGCGTCCCTGTTCGCTGCCTGCAGGTTCCGCTCCCAACGAGTATCCCTCACTGGGGTTGGGTGCCGCGCCCAGCAAGCCAAAGCCATGATTAATGACAAGGGAGATGGATGGATGGATGGATGCGAGCGGTCGTTTGTGCTTCGACGCGACCGGCGTGTTTGGGTGTGTGAGAAGCGACTGGCTGGGGCAATATATATGTGCTGTCAGACTCTCCTGTTTCATCTTCCATGAAACACAGTACAGTTGCTGTGCTGCTGTATTTCCTTCCGTGTGGTGTGAAGGTCTGTCTCGCGCATCCCAAGAGGTTTGGCGTCAGGCAGCCTAGGACATTCCGTGAAACTGCTCGTCGCCAAAAGGTTTGACGGACACGTCGTGGAATTCGGAGTGCAGATCATCTTTCGCCTTTGCCGAGCAGCAGGAGCAGCAGCAGACACAGCAAGGCGCATTGCGCCTGGAGAGATCCTCGGCGCATCCCTCAGGCTACGGTGTCAGGAGCTCGGCAGCGGACGCCTCTCTGCGTCCACCAGCACGGCGGTCAGCGGGCACGAGCTGTCCTGTTACGACCAAAAAGGATGGCAACAGCTCGTCGTGACGAAGATAAAGGAGGCCACGAAAGACGCCACGCCCTTGCATCATGCAGCCAGTGAAGCCTCACGCTCACAGGCACGGCCAGTCCATCCAGCTCGGCATCCGGCGGCTGGCATCGGCTATGGGACAAGGAGAGGCCTCAGCAGAACAGTGACAGCACCGGCTCGCCAGTGGACCCTGGGGAGAAGGTGGCGTCGGCGGCACACGCTGCCTCTGCGGCAGGGCCAGATGGGACTGAAGGAGCGGGTAGTGGTGATGCCGCTGCTGTGATAGAGAATGGGGAATCTGCGAACCACGGTGCAGGTGAGTTGAAGGGATGAAGCACCAATATACATATGACTTGTTACGCCCTTCGTATGTGTGTGTGCTTTGGTCAGGCGCTTGTGAGGCCCCGCCCACCTCTCCCAAGGTGTCGCCCGCTCCTGCTGGCGACATCCACAGTGACGCGCACATGAGTGCGCCAGCGAAGGATGACCGATTTGGGGACGGTGCCAGTCGGCCATGTGCGGACCAGCTTCCAGACGGCAGGACGGGCGCCGCAGCATCGGCAGATGTGGCTGCATCATCCTCGTCTGGTGATCGCCGTGTCGAGTGTGTCAAGAAACAGCCACCCTCCGTGCCCAGCCCGTCCATGCCGTCTTGTGGCGCCGCCTTGCCAGGGAGCGTCAGGCCGACGGGTGGAGGCGATGTGAAGCAGCAGATGCAACAGGATAGCGCAGAAGCGAAGCTTGGTAGGAAACAGAGCAAACCACGCAGGACACGGAAAGGGAGAGGGCGTTCACCATTTGCTTAACTGGTTGTCTTTTGGTGCATCAGGCCTTGTTGATGTGGGTGGCCCTGCTAGCCAGCGATCGTGTCAGCCACCCCCTACCTCTCTCGGCCCATGTGAGGTCGCCTGTCCGCTGCAGAAGATGAGCTCGGCGCCGTCACCGCTGTTCCCGCCAGTCTATGGCGGTCCGCCACCACCACCCCTGCCGCCGCATCGGCCCTTATTGGCTCCGCCTCCCCTCTATAGACCACGATTCGCATCACCCATGCACCCACCTATGATGCCACCGATCATGGCGGAGCAGCAGGACTTCCTCCCGGTGCACATGGCGCCACCATACCTGGGGCCTCCGATCAACCTCACGTTGACACATCCGACGGTGGGCAGTGTGGGGTGGGTGGACAGACGGATCCTCGTGAATGCATGATACGTTTGATGTTTGTCAATGTCAGGTGGAGGGAGTTGGGAGACGAGTGCAGCCTCCGATGGTCATGATGCCCGTGCCGATGCTGCCGCCGGGGGGTGTGGCGCCGCCGATTTTTGGCGGGGGAGGAGTGGGAATGAGAATGGCTGCAGGTGTGGGTGTGCGGGGAGGGGGTCAGCAGTCGCCAGGAGGGGACAGGATGCATGTGTATGTCGGTATCGGAGGCCCCCCGCATCCACCACCTGCAGGGCCACCCCCGGCACAGCCACCACCCCCACCATTCCCACCACCCCCACCCTCTCCCCGTCCAATGGCCCCTCCCATGCAGGGGATCGATCGTCCGCTTGTATCACCACTTATGGCTCGCGTGCCAAGCGGCCAGGGCTGGGCAGCTGCCAACCAATACGAGGCTGCCCCCCACAGGCACGTGTACGATGCAGCTATACGGCGATCGCACGCGGCTGTCCACCCCGCTCCCTCTCCACTGGCGACGGACGAGGCGGCGCCCCCAATGCCTCCAACCACTGCCGGTGAGAGACGCAGCCGCACGAGGGATCGGGATGGAAGTGGGTAAATGGCTCCTCTGTGCTCTCATTTCAGGCTTCAGCTTCCAGTCTCCCCCGATGCCGCACAAGTCGGACCACATGCGGCGCTTGCTGCCCCCTCCAAATGGGGAGGGACCGCCAGCTGCCCACATCGAGGCTGACAAGGCCCTCCTGCCGATCGCTCCGCTCGCCGATATGAACCGACCCTTGCAGCCGGCAAGGCATTCGGCCACCGACGAAGACGTCAGCATGGAACCACTCGCCAAGGGGGAGAAGGAAGAGAGCGAGGGTGCTATGGAGATAGAAGAGCGTCCCAGCTCTGTGCAGCAGAATGCCCCTCCTGGCGCTGCTTCGATGGATGGCGATGACATCCCACACTTCAGCGATTCTCCAATTCCGCAGCATGCAGCCCCGACTGTGTCCCTGGGTCAACAGAGTGCGGGTGGGCCAGCGGTGGTCGCCCACATCGAGGATGCGCTGGACGCTGATGAGGCGTCGAGGGACCACAACACGCTGCCTCTGACGGTCGACGGTCGGAGCTCGTCTTCCCCCCTCCGTGACGTGAAAGCCGCCTTCCGCGCCAAAGGAACCAAGGGCAGCAGCCAGTATGACCCCCTATACGACGGCCGCACTGTCTTTCTGGCTCCCAGCCCCTCCGGCACTCACGAGGATGCCGTCACTGCCATGGTCGGCCCCCTGACGTCAGGTCGGCAGGAGTTCTTCGTTCGAGGAAAGGTGCATCGCATCCGGCGCAGCCCCTCTTACGACTTCAGCGACCTGACGGCCACGCTGGCCGAGGCGGGGCAGAAGACAGGCACCCTGCTGGATGACATTGTCGACGACGGCGGGCTGTCTGTGCTTGACGACAGTCGCCGTGACGGGCCGATGCGACCAACTGCGACGGGGGTCCTCAAAGGCTTGGTGCGGATTCGACTGGGCGCTGGACGGCCAAATCGGAGGCGGCAAGGGGAAAAACGACGGGACCGTGCTGCCGGTCCGCTGCATGACCATTCCTTGCGGGCCTCTCCAGCTTCTGTGCCGCGCCAAGGTCAGCGACAGCGTGAGGCTGTGGATCTGGCGGGGGGCGACAGTCTGGTGGAGCGGGAGAGGACAGAGGGTGAGGAGAGAGGGCTTCCTTCATCGCTGACCTGTCGTCGTCCCTCGAGCCGCCGCTCGCCTGATGTCCTCGTTCGTGAGGTGGAGTCGCTGTTCGAGCAGATGAGCACGCCAGGCAGCGCTCGATACGATGAGGTGTTCGCCGGCCTCGAGTGTCTTGTCTTCCCTGAACCTGACAGCCAGTATGAGGAGGCCGTGCGATGCGTCGTGGGGCCGTTCCCTGGTGGTGACGCCGGCCCGTACTACGTGGATTCGGTCGAGTACCCACTCGCTGCCACCAGCTCAGACGGCGGCAGGAGGTGGAGCTTCATGAAAGGGAGTCTGACGAGAAAGATCAAGACGGCACGCGAACGGAGGGGCTCTCCCCCCGCCCCATCCCTCTGCACCTTCGTTCGGCTCCATGGCAAACAGGTCGTGCGGTACAAGTACCAGCTCACGGCGGGACTCGCCTTCGACAGACGCAAGCGCCCACAGCCGCCGGCCGAGCAAGCGGCCAATCCCGCGAGAGAGAAGGTGCCAACCGGCAAGAGGAAGAGGCGGCCCGACCGTGCAGTCTCTGAAAGCCCCGTCAGGCAGGAGGGGCGCGGGTTGGAGGATGGGGAGGAGGATGGCCTGCCGGGCAGCACAGCGTGTCCGGCGCGACTGCCGCAAGTGACAGGAGCAGACGGGGATGGCCGAGAGGTGGAGCATCGGTCGCCCGACGTCTTGGTTCGTGAGGTTGAGGCCATCTTCAGCCGCATGTCCACCGACAGCACTCATCGCCACTACTCGCTCTTCAACGGCCTGAGTGGCTCCTTCAGCGTCAACCCCCACAGCTCACATGAGGAGGCCGTCACGTGTGGTGGGTCCTTTCGCTGACGGGCAGGGAGGGGAGTACCACGTCGAGGCGGACGTGACGCGTGACCCTAATCGGGTCTTGTCCGATGGCTTCACAAGGTCGCGATGGGATTACAGCTGCCCCAAGGCGGTGGTCAAGCGCACGCGGGAGAGGGGCGGCCGGCCTCCCCAGACGACAGCTTTCAGCTTCGTTGAGAACGATGGCAAGAGGGTTCTCAAGGACGCACGCATGATTCCCAAGACCAAGAGCGCCACGACGACGTCCCAGCCCCACAGAGAGCAGCCCAACAGAGCAGCGAGACGGCCGCCCAGTGTGCTCGACCATGACCTTCAGCACGCCGCACAGCATCCTCGGCATGGCGCCCCTCTGCCCACCGCATCATTGGCCAAGTCAAGGCCGCCAAAGCGCGTCAAGGCCGATGGACCGTCCGTCACGACCAGCCCAGCACAGCAAGTGGCAGAGTGTGAGGCCTTGTGGGCCCAGCTGTGTGACCCGTCATCTGCCGAGCACGATGAGGCCTACAGCGACCTCGACAACAAAGCGTCGTTCCAGCCTAACCCAAAGAGCCGCGTCACCGCGCGCATCGACCCTTTCGATGCGCCAGACGGCGCCATCTACATAGAGGGCGACTTTCGTCGCAACCCGTCACAAGGTCAGCATCGCTGAGGTGTCGCAGTGGCTCGTCGGGAGGCTGCGGGAGGCGCAGAGGGGGGACTTCGGTCAGCTCATCAACTCGACAGATGCCACCATGATCATCGATAGCGATCCCGCCAGCCAGTCCGGCCTCAAGCGCATCTACCGTCACACTGCCGGGTGGCGTGGCTCTGCGGAACGCCCGCACGTCCCTCCACCGAAGAAGAGGCGGAAGGGAAGCTCGGGGAGGGCCGCACAGAGGCTACCGCCACTGAGAGAGCCGAATGCCTCGCCAGGTGCTGCTGAGATGAAGGAACCGTCGCGCGGCGAGGCTGCCTCAGCGCCCAACGCCGACGGCAAGCACCGCCCCGCCGCAGACGACGACGATCCGATGGGCGACCCTGACAATGATAAAGAGGGCGACGAGCGAATCGCCAGCGGCCATTCGGGTGAGGGATCTGGCTGGGAGGACCGTCGGCCGCTGGCGACGTGGGCGAAAAAGGGCGTGGTACGTGTCGGCTCTGCTGGCGTCGGGGATGGGATGGATGTGGAGGACACGGGCGTGCCTGCCAGCAAGAGGACAGCCACAATGAAGCCACTCGAGACCCTGGAGACATCGGAGCTTGCCAGGGTCCTCGGCAGCCATCCCTGCCCTGTTCTGAGCAAGCTGATGCCACCGATCATAGTGGAGGTGGGGGCGAGGGCGAGGACACAGACGGCACACTGATGATCGGTGGACGAGTGATATGGGTACATGTATCGTGTCTTGTCTTGTGTTGTGCACGAGGGGATCGAGGGTTCGTCTTTGCCTGACCTGACTTTGACTGACATGGCCGACATGGGGATGGCTGATGAGGAGCAGCGCTGCAGGCTGCTGGCGTGGATCGACAGCGTCAAGGGGACAGTGGTACGCGTCAATCAAAACAAAACACGGGGGCGAAATGGCTGACATGTGGCGGCTGATGGTCCTGTGGTCCCATGTGTGTGTGTGTGTTGTGTTGTGTTGTGTGGTGTGGTGTGCAGGTGGAGGTGCCTGAGGTGCACCCATCGGGCAGTCGTCCCACATAGCGACGCCACTACCTATTCACTCACCCACCCACCACATTGCATTTCATTGCATCCACACTCCATGTCTGTGCAGAAAGGTGGGAAGGTGGGAGAGAGAGGGAGGGATGGAGGGAGGGAGGGGCTGTAGGCTTGCCTTCGCCTGACTTACTGGGTGTCCATCCATCCATCCATCCATCCATCGTGTATTTGTTATATTCTTTGCGTGCATTCATTGCGTGTCTGTCTGTCTGCTGTCTGTCTGTCTGCTGTGCCCTGGCTGTCATCTCAGACATACATATCACTGCGTGAGCTTTGTCTGAGCCACCGCATACGCAGACACTTTCTGACAGGTCGATCCATTTGTCACCCATTCCTTTATCAACGATGGCCGTCATGTGCACACAGTACATCAAAGGGGGGCCCGGCTATCATGCGTGTCACTCACTGATGCGATGCGTCGTTTGGTTTGTTGTGCGACGACCAATGAGTTAATGCTGCGCATACATGTATGTACAATTGCATACACAAGACAGGTCTATGTATGTACCCACGCAGTTGTCATTGAGTCAAGTCGGTCGTCACATAGCTGGCTGTCTTGTACACTTGCATTGCTGATGGATGGCTGGGGATGGAGTCTACACCGCATTGTATGGGATTGCATTGCACTACATGGGTCTCGTCTCGCTTCTCCCTCCCCTGTTTCTTTCTCTCTATCCATCCATCCATCAGTTATGCTACCTCGCTGCCTGCGTGGGAGGTCATGTCATGCATTGGTGGGTGGGTGCCTTTGGTGTTGGCGAATACGGGCGGTATCGACCGATTGATGTGTACATACATAAGTACGTGCTTGTATGCAAAGGGTACTGCCATTCGCTTGCACGGCCTGGCCTTTCTCGGTCAGCGCGTCTTGTCTTGCCCGCCGCTTTCATTGTGTACACTACGTGCCTGCCTGACGGCCTTCTGATGCATCCTTCCATCTGGATGGATGGAAGGACGACATGACATGCAATGCGATATGTGTGTGGGTTGTCCGGGCCATGGAAGGTTGTGTGTCCTTCCATACCATGCGTTCGTTCATGTGCCTGCCGTGTGCGAACGATGTGTTGGATTCATGTGTCTGCATGTGCCACGCCACATATATACGTACAGTACCGGTAGGTAACGTACCATCATCCGATCCATGCATGCGTTGATCGACACCACACGACAGACAGACAGATAGATAGTCATCACCATATGTACATACCATCCGTGCACCGTGTCCATTGCCTAGTAGCTGTCTGTTCTTCCCTCCTCCTCACTCAGTTGAGTGAGTGGTGCCCTGCCATGCCTCTGCTGGTGTCCCTGGTCTTGTCTGTAGTGCTATACGGCTCGTACAGCGGTGGAGGAGGACCATCACCCGCACCCTCCACACCCACAAGCCCAGACCACGCGTCCTTCAAGCTCATCATCTCTTCGCCAACACCCGCCTCTTCTCCATCGCCATTATCATGCTTCTCCACAGCTGCTGTCCGCTCCCCCCCGCGGCCTTTGAGGTGTTCCTCCAGGTCCTTCTCCTGCTTGTCCTGCAGTCTCATGACGTCCTCCATGTCCAGCTCTTCACCATGCTCCTTGACTGCGGTGAGGATGGCGTCGTCCTGCTGCTCGAGCCCCGCCCACATGGATGCGGCTGCCGATTGGTCGCCGTCCTTGCCCCACTTCTTGATGCGGCCCAGATGGATGGGATCCTCAGCGGCAGCAGCTGCTGTGATGTCCTCGTGCAGGACGTTGGCCAGCAGGATGGGATTGCCAGATGCAGCGATGACGCGCTCCTCGCTGAAGGCGGCAGCGGCGCCCAGCCACGAGACGAGGAGGATGACCAGATTCCCGGCATGCTCACCGGGCGGCATTCTCAGGAATTGGTCAACGTGATTTACAGAATGGCTCTGATTGTTTCACAGGCAGAGTTGCGTGTTGTTTTGGAGATGGCAGCGTCGGAGCTGCGCGAGGCGCTGGTAGAGTCTTTGGAGAGCCGAGGGGTCCTGAGGGATATCAAAGCTCGACTGCGAGCAGAGATCTGCCGCGTCCTCGATGACCCTGTACGCGAGAGGGACGGAAAGACGACGCAGGAGGACGGTATTGTGTGTGTCTTGTCCGTCAGGGTCAGGGGCGGCCTTCGTTGCCTCCGGAGAACCTCATCATCAACGAGCTGATACGGGGTCAGCCAGCAGCGCGTTGCATGGCAACAAAATACAGCGAGCATTGGCCCATTTTCCGTGTGTGCTCAGAGTATTTGGAGTACAATCGCTACCACCAGACCCTCTCGGTGTTCCTGGCAGGTCTGCTGCTCTACACCTGTGTGAGGCGTGTTGGGTTTGATGCCGCCTCGTTTGGTTCCCCCCTTCAGAGTCGGGGCAGCCCGAGACCCCTCCCTTCGACAGGCGCTTCTTGGCCACAGAGCTGCGGCTCGAGGAAGACTTCAGGACACAGTCCCTGTAGGCCAAAGACCCTCACCACCATCAAACACACGAAGTCCATGATCTGTTTCCTCGCGGCTTCAGGCCGATATTGTATGGGTTGGTGCACGGCCTCCAGTCCCAGCTGCCCGCCGAGAGGCTCTCGTCGCTGCCCAAACGGGACCGGCCCCCTCCCTCCGCCCTCACACACCAGGCGATGAGTGTGCCCACCTACCCCAGGAGGCCACAGCCCCACCCACAGTCGAGTGTGGTGGGCCGCCGGGCGTTCGTGAGCGGTGCTGCTCTGCCGCGGGTGGATCGTGAGGGGGACGGGTGTCTGCTGCGCATCGATGGCCGCACGCCGGCTGTTAGCGACGAGCAGGCCGACGAAGGCGACGACAGAGAGGATTTTGATAGGCCTCTGGAGGCGCCAGGTACTGAGAACAAACAGGAACCATACATTTCTGTCGCATGCTTACAGTCGTGTATGTTGTGTGCAGCTGATGTGCCATCATCGGCGTGGATGCCTTCCGAGAAGCAGGCGCCCAAGCAGCAGACCCTGATGCCCCCGCTGTCCATCCCCAAGAAGCCAGCCACACCGTCCCCCGCCTCGCCGCCCCTCCCATCGTCCACCCCCGATCGGCCCGTCCTCAAGACCATCGCTGACCTGCCGTCCTTCCGTGAGTTCCCCAACCTGGCAGACACCGACGAGCCGAGCGGCCAAGAGGAGGGCGAGGCCAAGGCGTCTGCGCCGCGTGTGGTCGAGGCCCTCCCCGCCAGCCCGCTGCACGATAGGGGGAGCAGCGGTCGTCAGCTCGGCACGGGTGAGTCGGCGATGTTGCTGCCGCCACCTCCGCCGGCCGGTGTGGGGGTGGGGGTGGGGGTGGGGGGGTCGGTAGAGGAGTCGGTTGTGGAGGAGATACTGATGGAGGAGTACAGAGATGACGAGAGCCTGGAATCGTTTAGGCAGGGAGGGGAGGTCGGCCGGCCGATGTGGATGCGGGGGAGGGGCAAATAGATAGAATCGTGTGTGTATGTGCTGGCGAGGGCGGTGCATGCATGATGTGTGAGGTGACTGACGGTGTCAGGTATTGCTTGAATGTGCGGCTCAGTGTGAGTGAGTTGGCCATTGAAACTCTCATAAACCGTCCGCATAAAGGCACACACGCTATGCAGTTCACGCACCCCTTCTTGTCTGATTGATTTGATCGATCTGCTTTCGGAAGGGGTCCCCTCTATCTCACTCACACCAACGGCACATGTCATGTAGTCAGGCAGGCCCTTTCTGGCGGCGGAGGACCGGCCAGCGACCTGTATTTCAGTCACTGTCAGCCGCCTCCCTCATTCATCCACCTAGACGACAAGACAAGACAAAGGGACCTACCAGCAAAAAAGGAAAAAGGCCTTCTCACGCGGCGCTTGACTGTGTGTTTTGACATGGATGAAGGCAACGCATTTCTCCAAGCGTCGTGTGACGGACACTCAGGGAAACGAGTCACCGTCACCCATCTGGAAAACACACCGGCAGTGCACCGCGTATTCGTTGGTCAAAAGGGATAGGCAAGCGCCTACAGGTTACAGAATGGATATGAACGACACCGCGCCCTCACTCAACCATCCGTCTAGTGCTGTGGTGTCTGTCTGCTGCTGCCTAGCCATGAAGGCCAATGCACGATACGTTTCTGACACATCGCGCAAAGGCCTTCACCACAAGACAAGCAGACACACATCCGAAAGCATAGACGAAGGGGACAGGCTTGCAAGCCCAAACCATTCGTTCATCAGTGCATCCATCCATCCATCCGCCCATGCAATAAAGGCATGACGCCCACACAAGCAGCAGCTCGGAAGATACAACCGCGTACACACCACCTCACATACACAGACACGGACACAGTTGAAGGGCCCTCCTCCCCATTTCAAGCCGAAAATCAGACGCTGACAGGCAGCATCTGCGGTAACGAGCGATGCCCACGTCTTGTCTGCCCTGTGTGAGTCTGTTTCAGCCGGCTGCATGATGTGGTCAGGCTCATGCGAAGTGGGAGACGCGTGAGCTTTACCACAAAGACAACGGGCTCAATCACACATCCACACACGACAGAAGACGGGACACATTTCGCATATCTATCAAGGGAGATGGCAAGAAAGGGATAGGCAGGCAGGCAAGCAGGCATCGCAGTCAGTACTTGCCGCCCTCTCTCTGCATCAATTCAGACACCACACGATCAAAATCCCTTCGATGAACGAACATCTCATATGCAATTGCCCCATTTCTTAAATCACTCTCCCCTCGTCCCTCCCTCCCTCCCTCCCTCCCTCCCATGTCCTGTCTTGTCTCTTCACCTGCGTCCATCAGTTGTATCCGCCACCCCCTCCACTGCCACTGCCGCCCCCGCCCCCGCCCCCACGCGGCACATAGTGACCGCGACCACGGCCACGACCACCGCCACCTGATACATACACACACAAATGCACGCCAAGAACACAAATGAGCCAGATCATCCACCAACAGATCCAAAGGTGCGTGTGCGTGTCTTACGTTGATGTTGATAGTGTCCCCCTCCCCGGCCGCCACCGCGCCCTCGCCCACCCCGCCCCGCGCGATGGGGCTGACCACCATGCCGCTCGTCATGGGTGTGGACCCCATCACCGGCAGTATTGGCATGCATGTGTGTCTGTGTTGGAGGGGCCGTCATGCCGCCGGGAGGTGTGGGTGTGGGGTGGTGCACCGGCTGCCAATGCCCATGGGCATTGCCATGAGCATGGCCGGAGCGATGGTGCGACGTCGTGCCACTACTGGTAGACGTATGGGTGTGGGAGTGCGGATTGTTGGCGCCCGGAGATGGGCGGGGCTGGCTCGTCGAGTGCGTGGCGGACGGCTTTTTGTCGCGAGCTCCAGGAGGACGGTATGGCTCAGCACCACCACCACTGCCACGGCCTGGCCGCTTGCCGCTCTTGGGTGAAGACTCGGTCTTCTCCTTCTGCGGGTCGCTGGCGATGGTGGGCTTGTGTGTGGGTGGCGAGGGCGGCTTGGCAGACGACGATGCACCGTCTCCCTCAGCGGCCGCGGTGTCCTTGTCTGCCGTGTCGACGGTGACTGCAGCCTTCTCAGTCGTCATCGCACTCTTGGTCATGGTCTGGGCCACGGGTGCCTCCACCTCCTCGTGCTTCTCCACCACAGGTGCGGCGTCCACCTCTTCAGGCTTGGCGGCAGTCGGTGCCTCGATGGTCTGCATGGGGGGAGGGTCCTGCAGCAGTGGCGGTGGGACGGTGGATGCGTCCGTGTCGGCGCGCGTGGTGTCGCCCTTGACGTCGCGGGTGACGATGGATGACTTGGCCGTCTCCGTCGGGGACGCTGAGCGCACGCAAGGTGAGCGAGCCGGTATGTATGAGCCATGTGCCAGAGTGCTGCTTATGCGTACTGTACCTGTTTCCTTGCTGTCAGTGGGTGTCGGTTGGCACGGCGCCGGCACCACTGCTGCCTGGTAGCCTGGGACGGTGCCTTGGACCACTGCACAGAACACACAACGACAGCCAACGTGCAGTGAAGACGCCTCTGAGGACATAGATCAAGACCACACCCCACGTACCTCTGGCAGGCTGCTGAGCCGCACGAGGACGAAGGAAGCCGAAGCACAGGCAGCCGCAGAATCCTGCGCACAAAGCGACAAAGAAGACATCGAAGGCCGTTCAGTCAGGGTCGTTGCCACCGTTGTGTGTCTGATCTGCGCCTCTCTGCCCGCTGCCGTCGGCTTACGTTCGAGGCAAGTTGGTTCCGGCTCTCTGAGCAGCGGCTGGGCCTCGCTGCCAGATCTCTTTGCTTCTGTGTCCATCGCGCTGCTCCTCGTGTACCAGTAAGCACTGACGGACTAAAAGGAGAAACAGCCGCAGAAGGGATCGGTACTAAGCTCGCAGAAGTGAAAGCCGAAGAGATCTGGTGGTCCAGCGTCCATGCATGAAGCAGATGGAGTGATTCCAGTGAAGAGGAGAAGCTACCTGCAATGAGGTCTTCCACGCCTTATGCGGCATCCCATGATGGAGTACCAACACCAGCGACCGACACCAGCCGACCGACCATGCAGCCATCCCCTCCGCTGGCCGATGCAGTCTGTTGACACCCCATCCCATTCCTCTCGGCCACTTCGAGAGCACATTGCTGCATCATCTCGGCGCACCGCACCATCGGCCTCACTTCTATGCGTCAGGGAAAGTCGGCAATGCAGCAGCCGAAGAGCCCAGCAATGCAGCATCAGAGGAGCCCGGCGACGGATGGCTGCCTTGGCCAAAAGGCTGCGTGTGATGTCGTCCATGCGAGTGATGGTGAGAGTGTGCGAACTGATCTGATTTGATCCGCTTTACATGGACCTTGCATTTGTGTGTGCCTTGAACGCCAGACTGCATTGAGATCGTGTCATTGCAAAATTGATCAGAGTGTCACCACGGCAAACACACAACACATCTCACGCCCTCTCTCAGTCAGAGAGAAGCTCGTAACATACACAGTCACCGTCACAGTCACACCCTGAGAAACTCAAGCCCAAACTCACATGAAGGGAACAGAATATCAACCGCCTCGCTTGTCCCCAGCAACAGCTCACAGAGATTCTTGAGCTCATCCATTGTATCTCCGTTCCATCGAATATTCGCCAAGAACAAGATGTCATGCACGTCGTATCCGCGCCTTCCTTGTGATGCTGCAACTGCCTCTCGCAGCCGCCGTGCAGCATCATTCGTCCTCCGAAGATTGAGAAGCAGGGCCACATGAGAGAGGAGCAGCTTTGGGACGAGAACAGTGTCGACATCCAGTTCTTGCACTCCTCGCACTCTGTCCAGCATCTCCTCAACATCCCGCAGTCTCCGAGTTGCTTCAGTTGGCGTGAACTCCCCCTGCTTGTCGCGAGTTTCTTCTATCAATCGCTCCGCTTGCTGCAATACTGGCATGGCTTCCGTGCTGATGCTGGTGTCTGGCCAATGGGCAGTTGGAAGCTGGTGCCGCGCGGCCATGGCCCTGTCGTTGGAAGTGAGGCCTTCAAGCTGGTTCCAGTATGATGCGGTGATCTCCCTGTCGCGGGCAATAGGTCGAATGGCTCGTACAATGATGATATCATCGATGGCATACCTGAGGAAGCACATACTCGGTCAGCACAGAAAGAATTTCATCCACTGGCACGCTTACCAGATAGCGTTGCGCTTCATCCCTTCGTGAGCGATTAGCGATGGCAGTACCCAGAATCCAAAGACCCTGGGGAGGCCAGGACCAACTGAACATGACAGAATCATCGTCATTTCAATGGCAGGACGTATCGCTTCCTTACTGCTTCGGCTTCGTGCCGATGGTGGACCAGAAATGTGGCCAATCACACTCCCGACCATGCGAAACTTGCGCACCATGAAATCATTGACGTCCGCGCCAGTGTCAATAGCAGCCACAGGAGAGCCGAACTCCTCGCCACTCTCCGACTGAATGAATCGGGGAAGCAGCGGAAAGCCGGGGGTGAGGCCCAAAAGTGTCTGATGCGACGGCGGCCCATGGGCCGCCATGGCCGACGGCTGTCCCCTGCCCTTTGGCAGACAGCACAGCTGAGAGATAAGCCGAGGGTGCCAGGGGGCAGACGTCGAAGAGCGAAGGAGCGGCGTGATCTCATCTAGTGCGCTTGGCTGTTCTTTCCGCAGTGGGTTGGCCTTCAGCGCCCTCTGCACGATTAGCAGCTGGCCCACTTGAATGTCCTTTGCCGCATGGACACTCGGCTGCTGGCCCTCAGCGTGTCGCACGGCAAGCGGGCCCACATACTCGGCAATGTCCAACTGCTTGTTATCGGATTCGTCCCTGGCTTGTCGGTAGATGGCGGCCCAGTCAAAGTCGCCTCTCGCGTTGGCTCGGTGAGAGCGGACACGTTGCTGCAGCGTGTCGGCCTCTACCCTCATCTGACCCTGCGATGCCTGCAACACACACACACCACCACACACATCATCCCCTTTTCCATCATTTCCCCTCCCCCACTCACGTGTTTCTTGGTGGCCCTGGCAATGACATCAGCAGCGTCGAAGAGCCGCTCGGCCAGCAGCCCCTGGCCCAGCCGCACGAGGCACTTCTGCTGGATGGTGCTGAGCTGCTGGGAGGGGCCATGACGCAGGCAGCTCAGATGGAGGGCGGCGGCCGCGCACCCCACTGCATCCGGTCCCCCCTCCCTGATGCGCTCGGGCTTGAGCAGACACGCCGAGGCATTGCTCAGCAGCGCAGTGAGCGTCGACACGTCAGCAGCAGCAAGACCGGCAGTGAATGTGTCACGTGCCTCCGCATGTCTGCCCTCCTGCTGCAGCTGCTCGCCTGCCGTGAGTGCATCGGCCACCTCGAGTGGCTCAGACGGTCCCGGTGCCTCGACTCGCGCGCAGAGGTGCTGCATGGCGTCCTTCATCAGCCTCCCTGTCGCCTTGGGCGATGGCAGGGCGACATCGCCGTCACCCTGGCGGCCATTGAGCCAGTTGATGATGCCCTTCCCGTAGAGCTCTGCGGCTGTCTTCTGGATGAGAGCCGACTTACTACTGCCGGGCTCGAGGGAGGAGGGAAGGGGGAGGATGCGGAGGGCCGTGGTGACGTCGATGAAGGCGCTGACGTGGCTCTCGAGGGCGAAATGACACTGCGCCCGACGGACCAACAGCTCAGCGAGTGACTCGCGCTCCGACCGAATGCCCTGGCACACACACACATGAACATGAGTGCATGGCTATATCGCCGTTCGTGCTCATGTGCCTTCGCTGCGCACCTTGAGATATGCACAGTAGGCGTCGATATACTTGCCATTCGCGAATTTGTCGTTTCCATCGGCCTTCCAATCATCAGCGGTGAGGGGAGACGCTGGGTTGGCAGCAGCCGCTGCGGCGCTGCTGCAATGACCAACCACAGACAACACCATGATGCATCTGTTCGTCGTATGTCCACAGTCTGCCTGCAGCATCATGCCTGCTGGGTTGGGATGGCGGCATGGAAGGAGCGTTGCTGCTCGAAATTGGCTGAGAATGGGCGGTGGCAGAATCAATGAACGCCATCACCTGACAGCAACAAAGCAACAGAGGCGATCTCAATGTGTTTGCTACTCAAGCCCCCGGAATTACCGTAGGCGATAGATTGAGCGCCGCTGCGTTGTCTCTCAGCTCGACAAAAGAATCCAACTGCCACACACACACACACGCACACACACCGAATACGTCCGGCATTCTCACCATGCGAAGCTGGATTCATCACTTTCTCACCGGCACAATGCGCGAAGCGATAATGTTGCTCGTACATGTTCCCCTCCTCATTTGCTCATCTCCATAGATGACAAGTCGTCGTAAGATGTCTGCGGCATGTTCTCCTGAAAAGAGCTTCACTTCGCCTTTGGCCAGCATGAGGAGAAAACCACACAGCGCCTTCGGAGTGGTCTCGTCAGATGCGACAGCCTGCACACAACAAACCATGTACAAACAATATATATGCGATCCATGATTGAGTTGGTGATTTCTCGGCTGTTTCTCCTCCTTTTCGGATGAGCGAGCGTGTATCGGACTACACCCAACCCCCTCCACCTACCTTCATCCCGCGAGACGGCGGCGGGCCCCCCTGTTGCGCATGCAACGAGAAAGGGACGTCTGCGCTGTCCACATGCAGCCGACGATGTGACTGCCGGAATCACAAG